GAGAGAGAGAGAGCCATCGATTTGTTGGGCCACTCACTTAGGCATCAGTGGTTGGTTCTTGTATGTGCCCTGACCGGGATCGAACCCGCAACCTTGGCGCATGTGGAAGATGCTCTAACCAATCAAGCTACCTGGCCAGGGGGCATTAGTCCTTTCCTTAACCCTCGCTGACTTGCCTAACCAAAAAAAAAAAAAATATATATATATATATATAAAATAAAATACTATATATTTTTCTATTATTCTGTCTCACTCCACTAAAATGTAAGTAAGCCCCACAAAGACAGCATTTTTGGTCACTACCATATTCCCAGCATTGCTAACAGTGCTTTGCACACACCAAGCATTCAATAAATATTTGCTAAGTTAACGAATGACATTAAGATAAGCCCAGGTAAATAACTGCATTCTACCCCTCCACCATCAAGTTCGTATTTAGGGGATCTCCCTCCAACCTAAGGTGGACCCAGAGCAAGTCAGCCCTACCACCCGGCCTCCCATCAGGTTGTCTGTCCAGAGGCTTCCAGGGCCTGCTTACCTGAAGTGTCATCTGTGGCCATGGACGGAGAGGGGTGGGAGCCACCAGGGGACCTACTGACTGCTGGACATCAGGATGCTCTGCTGGAGAGAAGGGAAGCATTGGGGTGAGGCAGGTTGACAAGCAGGCCTGGTTTGGTTAACAAAATCTGTTCTAGTCAATAGGAAGTTTTGCCCCTGAAGCTTTCTGTGACAGTCTAAGGCAGAGGTGCCTCTTAATTTGTATAGAAAGGAAAGGGGGAGGAAAAAAGAAATGGTAAATATAAGCTAAAACTCCCACCACCTGCCAACTGCTTACCGACAGCAGGGGTATTATCATCCATCCTCTTCATCCTCAGCTCTTCCTCGTTAGACCTGTGGGGCAGAGAAGAGAATGCATGGATCTGATGCCCTGAGAAGCCAGTTCTGCCACCCACCAGCAACTTCTGAGCCTCTGTCATGGCCACCCTCACCTGACAGCTGCTGTTCTCTCTTCTGCTGTCTCCTTCTATCCTGATTATAAAAGTCCTACACATTCATTGTAAAAATTTTACAAAATACAGGAAAGCATAAAGCAATAAAAAGTGACACATTAGCCAGAGGCAACCACCATTACCATTTTGGAAAATTAATTCCAGACATTCTATGAAACTGTTTAGATTCTGCAGACATAATTTCACACTGTCTTTGTCCACTTAACAGTAAGAAGCACCATTATATACTTCAGTAAACATCTGAAATGGCTGCTTACTACTCCTATCATATGGGCTCGCCATAAGGTATGTAACCATTCCCATCCTTCTGAACAGCTAGTTGTTTCTTCCATTTTACTTTCACAAAGCAGGCTTCAACAGAAATCATTGGGTATAGCTTTATGAACAATTTGGATCATTTCTTTAGGGTATCTTCCTAGCTATGGAGGAAAACCCATCTTTTCCAAGAAACGGCAGGTGAGGACTGTGGGACACAGGAAGCAGCAAAAGGGAGAAGGTGACTGGTGACCAGGAAAGAGGTCAGAAGGAAGTAACCCAGGGTCATAGAGGCCTGGGTCCCACTACCAACCCTCCTCCCACCACCATATCAGCCAAGCAAGGCACCTAACCTCCCTTAGCCTCCCTGCCCCCTCACCTTAAAATACAGCACAGAGGATCCAGGATGTGCACACCAAGCACAGGGCAGTCAAGAGAAATGAGGACATCAAGCCAGACACCAGGCCTGGTACAGAACACTGGCTGAATCAACTGTAGATGTTTGTTGGTCTTGGTCCTCCTTCACCAGGCAAATCAGACCTCAAGGTCTGAGTGGCATAAGCCAAGTGTATTTTAGCCAGTCCCTGCCTGGTGTGAGGTCACAGGGATCATGGGGAAGTCACTGTTCTCATATGAGTATCAAGTGTTAACAGATTAAGGCAGTGAGGGAAGCATTAGCTAAAACATGTGCAGAAATCTGACAGGAGCTGAGGCAATTGCTCAGACCTTTCTCTACCTAGAAGTAATTTGATGATGTTGACATTTCTGAAAATGATTGCAATTTTTTGAAAACACGTAATCTATTACCTTTACAGAAACAGAATATCACTAGCTGACCCAAATGCAGTAGTTACTATGGTGTTAGGCACTGTACTAAGTGTTCCACATATACTATTAATTAAATCCTCACAGCAACCCTATGAGATAGGTACGTCTAATCCTCTGAAGTAGGCAATATTATTATCATCTTACAGATGATGAAATGGAAGCTAAATGGCTCAAGGTAAGCAGTGAGGATCGAAACCCAAGCCTTCCAACTCCTAAGTCTGCGCACAACAAACTGCTGCTACTTGGATGAGGTATACTGGAATCTTTCATGAACCCCATCTCCAATCCTTTCCAGGAGTAGAAAGAGGGAGACAGCAATAATAGATAGCAATAAGATCCCTACCTCCTCCTTCATCCAGGTTTTTCTTTAGACCTGCCTTTTAACCCATATTCATTCCCAGCTTCCCTGCCTTCACAGGACGTGGCTAGGAAACCACCAGACACAGAAGTGGCTGCAAGAACTGCTTTTTATTAGCACCCTTAGGGAAAACTTGAACTATATAGATGGATCTAGAGTCTGGAAGCTCCCAAAGGAAGGTGTGTCTTTCTCCATGGACTAGGGCTCATGTGTCCCACCAGAGGTCTTTGGATGAGAATACAGTCAAATCTTGGTTCTCGAATGCCTCCCATCTAGAACAATTCATTTCTCAACCCAGCAACCCTTTCATGCTGATTACCTGTATGATCAGTCACGGGTCTCTCAGGGAACAAACAAAGGAGAGAATGCGTGAGTATGAGTCAGTTTACCACTAACTCTCACATTGTTAACATCTCCGGAAATTGTGCTGTGAATATTTTCATGGGTTTTTGGTTTTTGTTTTTTTGCTTTTGTTGCTGCTTATGATTAAATTTTCATCTTTTACTGTACATTTCATTTCCTTTTTGTTAAATTTTCATTTCATTATGTGTGGGGGGGGTCTGCTAATCCTCATCTGAGGATATTTTTTTCATTGATTTTTAAAAAGTGGAGGGAAGGGAGGGAGAGGAAAAGAGAGAAACATCAATGTGAGAGAGACATATTGATTGGTCGCCTCCCACACACACCCTGACTGGGGCTGGGTATCGAACCTGCAACCCAGGTATATGCCCTTGACTGGGAATCGAACCTGACACCCTTCAGTGCACAGCTAACACTCTAATCACTGAACAACACTGGCCAGGGCTCTTTTTTTTAAAGTGTTTGTTTATAGACTGGACAGTGCATTAGACATGTACTGTATATAAGAAAGGTTAAAACAGGGAATCACTTGGAGGTCTGGAGTGGATTAATTCAATTTACATTATTTCTAATGGGAAAAAATGATTCAATTTTTGAACAGTCTTCCAGAACAAATTAAGTTCGAGAACCAAGGTTCCACTGTTCTACAGGGCCTAGAGTGGGTGACACCAGAAGCCCAGCCATCAACTCCTGCCCATCATGGATAAGAAAGGGAGCTTCGGAGCAAACGGACTTGGTCCTGCACCAGTCCCTTCAGTGGCTGTAAAATCCAGGTCTTTGGATTTGTGGTCCAACAGGACTTCTGCTAACTTCTTTTGCTGGTGTAGTCCTTCATTAAAGAAAAGGTCCTCTTCCCAGGGTCTTCTAAAGCAAGCTTCTTCAAGAAGACCCACAGACAGATGGGAAGGGGCAGGACTAGGCAAGCTGTCCCCTGCCATGGGCCCAGAGCTGACATACACAACCACCAGGCTTCTAAAAGCCATTCCAGAGTCCTATATGTATGTGAGAGAGAAGCAAGAGGAGGTGGGAGGAGGATTCAGGACATAGCCAACCAGCAGGAAAAGAACTCCACAGTTCAGTTGAAGGAGAAAGAAAAACAAATACAAAACAAATTCTTCAGCCCCCAGAGATTCTCTTTCATAGCCGAGGAGGGTAAGAAAAAGGGTAACATCCAAAAATCAGGTCAAGCAATTCAGCCAGCCCCAAGATCCATGAAGTCAGCAAAAGTGCACAAGTCACTCCCTATCTCCAAAGTCAGAGATGAAAGCAAAAGGCACAAGTTATCTACTGTTCACCTCTTCCATGGGCCCTCTTCATTGATACACTAAGTCATTTGAAAACCTTCACACCTGTCCTTCAAAACAACACCCTTCCCTTTTTACAAACATGGAAACTGAGGCTCAAGAAACCATGTCTCTACATTCACAAACTACACAGCACAATGATAACACCCAAAGAGGGCTCCATTTTGAAGACAGTGTTTGAAACCGTGAGCTTAAAACAAAGGAAAACCTAAAACACCCTTGAACTGTCTTTCACAGTAAACAAGAAGGTTGGCAGTGATATGATTTGAGGGCAGCTATGACTTTAATCAAAAGGAAGATGGTGAGAGAAATGGTGTACCAATGTATACTGACTCACTGATCAGTAACAGAGAAGAGGGGTTCTTAGAAAAATAGAGAGGGAAGAGATTAAGAACAAAACTGTACCTCCAGTGTGCTTACTAATTTTCGAGAAGGAAACCTGCTCTTTTGGCACCAGCCCCACAAATGCCACATGGTGATCTCAAGGGCAATGGGCAATAGTGGGCTGGAACACACAGGCCTAGGGACATCTTGGACATGCATCCTTTGGTTCTCACAAGAACTAGTCAACAGTGTAGCTTAGAAGGGGCCTGCATGCCAGTCTTCTGGGTATGAAAATTCTTCCTGCCATCAGGAAACTCAATGGCCACTGACCTCAGATGGCACCCAGAGAAACCAGGGGGTGAGATTTCAGAAAGAGGTGCCATTAGCCCCAGCCTAGGTCAGCCAAGACAGAACAAAATAGTGAATCTCCAGGCAGAGTGAGCAAGCAAGGGTTGACAACCACCATGGGAAAGAGCAAAGCAGACTTTCAGAGCAGTCACATCACTGCCATCACCACCACCCAAATCCTTCATGAGCACCCCCAACGCTCAGGTTTTCAAAGAACTTGGCCAGCCCAAAGTGGGTCACGCACTGAAACCCAAAGGGAAACTCAACAGACCCCAGCTCAACCTGAAGATAAGGCTGACTATTTTGGGGAGAGGAGGCGGGGGAGAGGGGCAGGTGGCTTTAGAATTCAGAAACCTGCCCTGTGATACTTGGAATCCCAGTTACCCTGAGCCATCTGCTTTCTGAAAAGCACAGGGTTTGAAGGTGGCTGTGAAAACCACCAAGTTATGTGGGGCATTGCTGTCTTTCCCAGCTAGTCTGTGTGTCAACTCTGGGACTTAGGGACAATCCAGTAGGGTGGAGAGAGGGGAGCAGTTTATTGTGCTATGAGCTTCTTTTACAGCAGTAACTTCATTCATCTGGCTGTGACCCACACTAAGAAACACATTGTACATCATAGCCCAGCACACCCTATGCATGTGTAAAAATATATATACATATAACTGAGAAACACTTACCTTTAGTACGTTGTGATGTAGATTATTTCCTATACTAGTTCTCTTTTTAAGTGTTTGTTGGAATCCAGTAAATTGATTTCATATCTCAACAAAGGATCATGACATGTAATTTTGAATGAACCCAGCTCTGCCACCTACCAGCTGTGTGATCTGGAGCAAGTTACTGAACCTCTCTATGCCTCAGTTTCTTCATCTGTGAAGAGGGAATAATAGTAATACCTACCTCAGAGAGCTGGATTGAGGAACTATGGGAAAATTGTCTATAAAGTGCTTAACAGTAATCCCCTCTGCTTTCCCACTGAGGGAAATGAGGCTCTGAAAGGGAAAGTAACTTGCCCAGCATTGCCCAGCTGGTAAAACACATCACTTAACCTGATACAGAAGTTAAAATCTGGGCCACTACAGCAGGACTGCCCCAATGCAGATCCCAGCTCTGCCACATTTG